CACACACACACACACACACACACACACACACACACACACACACACACACACACACACACACACACACACACACACACACACACACACACACACACCCTGACACACACACCCTGACACACACACTGACACACACACTGACACACACACACACACACAAGCATAATTGAATTTTCAATAAACTGACAAGAGATCTTCAAAATAGACAGGTGGAGGAGATGTGAGCATGTATATAAAATTTAATTGCTGAAAGTACCAGTGCTTAAAAATTAAACTGAATTTTCTGAGTTATGAAATGTGTTATTTCAGGCCGTGTGATAGACTTCTCCATAGAAGGTCTGAAGACAGCAGCGGGGGCCTCAGGTTTGCCTGCCATAGAGGAGGAGGAGGAGTGTCTGGAGGAAGGCAAGGGACCAGAGGCTGAGGGAGAGGAGGAGGGGAATGAGGAACAGGTAGATAGTGGAAGAAAATTGTTTCATTATATGATAATTTTTAAAGTATATTATATAGAATATGTCATTTACATATCATATGTCATTTAAATATACATGAAGAAGTAAGTGGTACATGCACTGAGGCAAAGGAAGAAGAGAAAGAAATTAAGACCTAGTAAAAGAAAATTTTGGTTTTACACCATCATTGTATGTATTTTTCTTTACTAATTACACACACACATTCCAACAACTTTTTATTTCTAGACTGACCCAGCTGTGGAAGGGGCTCTTCCTGAACAAGAGGGCACCACAGTACAGCAAGGACAGGAGCAACAGGACAATGCTGGTAAACATCTTCATCACCACATTAAGACAGCGATAATTTAAAACCAATAATAGATGTCGCTTGTCTCATTACTCAACAAAATTATTAATTTTTAAATTTTCTTTGGCCTTTTCACAGAAATATCCTTCAGTTTTAGCAATCAATATAAACTAGTAGTCAGTATTCTGACTGATGACTTTAACATTCAGTAGCCACTCCACGTAAAAGCAGAGAAGGCTCGAGAGGACCACAAGACACAGGAGACCAGCAGCAACTGGCCAGGATCCAGGAGGAACATGAGAATGCCACGGAGCCGAGTGAGTCTGGGACAGACGGAGGCAGTATTCCGCTGATAACTGCCCAGCAGTATAACCAGTATGTACGGAGTCTGGTGAAACTGTTGGTTGGGGAGAAGACGCTGTATGAGTGGATACGGAAAGGTGGGTCGTGGTGTGTTGGTTTACAACTTTTTAGGTGTGAAATAAATTAGATTCCTTGTAACATGATTGTTAAAGCTTGTATATTTTGAAGAAAGGTGTTCCACAGGGGTGTAACCAGACCATTTAAAGTTGTACCCACAGATTTTGAAAATTCCCAGGTACGATTATATTCCGTGAAAAATACACTGAATTTATGGAGAATAATATCATGGTTGGCTCAAAAAATTGTACGCACAGTGCATCCGTGCGTATGCCTGGTTACGCCCCTGTTCCATTCTGTGAGAGTAAGAAAAAAATTCAGTTGTGTTAATGATATTGTATTTTTTTTCATTAACTTATTTATATTTCATCTATATTCAGCATAATGGTATGGCTGTCAGTGAATTTTAGTAAATTTCCCGCTTTTGTGATAACTTTCTTGCTTTTTTTCCATTTGACAATATGTAACTTCTTGTCTGGACCTTTCCAATTTAATGCAAATATCTGTATTCATAGTACTTGTAACTTAGTTTTATTGCATAAAATATATTTAAACCAGTCAGAAGATTCCCATTAAGTTATAAACCAACTCTACATTTCCCATTAGAATGATGATGTACAATTTTCGGCTTTCAGATTTCGGTCCTCGTCAGATCGAGAATGCGGCTATAGCTTACTCCTCGTGGCAGCGTCCCCCTATGCTAGTTGATCCCTATGGTGAGGGGATCTCCTGGCTGAAATGGCTGAACCGTAGCATGAACAAGAAAAAACTGATTATCCTGGATGTAGACACAAGGTATGTTTACAGTTACCATGACAACAGAAACCATGAAAAAACAAACATGGGAATTGATTCCTAAGTAGAGAAAGGGTTTGGCTGGATATGTGACTGCTTGTGATTATATTTTGAAAATAATTTTTTGAAAAAAAAAAATACTGTAGATATAAACTGATTTTAAAAATGGCATATAACTGATAGCTTTACTATAATTAATATAGATCTGTAATGTGTTGACCAACTTATCATGATTTACTAGAATATCATATGTAAACTTTAGCTATATAACCCAAGTAAGTATTAAATTTGTTAATGTTCTGTTGTGCAGTGTTTGTATTAATATTTGTCTGTCCATGTAATCATTTGTAAGCTGACAAAATTAAAGAACTAATTGACATATTAAGTTCCATTTGTCAATAGCCATAGAAAAAATTAACTTATATTTACCAGCCAATATTTTGTCTGCTATTAATTAAGAATTAATTGTTGATAATTGTTGATAATTGAATTTTCAGTTTAATCAGTAAGCTTTTGAAAAAACATGTAGTTAGAGGATTTTGACACAATTTAATTATTAATTTTTGATTTTATAATTTACTTTTTAACAAAGATGGTATGTATGTAGTTATCTTAGTTCATAGAGTACCTTAGTAATGTCTTATGTATTAGAAGGCAGTGTGTTAACTTTGTGCTGTTGGACATTGATTTATTATAGTTAAAATACATTTTTACAGATATTTGATATAGTAAGTTCAATATTTTTGACTGGATTATGACATGTTTTCATTGAAAACCCAGTCTGGTTCAATGAAGACATTTTATGAAGAAAACTAACTATGATAAGAAAAAGAAATTTTAACCAAATGTTACCACATTGCCTTCTGACAGCTTCGAGACAGAAGTCTCGTAGACAAACATCTTCTCAATAGAAACAGAGAGAGACCTATCGCCCTCATATCTTTTCTGTCTTCACCTGATTCTTATGTTAGCCAATCACGTTTGAGGCGGTCACGTCGTGCTGGAGCAGGAGTTTCCACTAGGCGCACTGCTACAGGAAATAAAAAGTAGAGCATTCTTTGATGTGTTTCTACACACACACACGCAATTAAAAAAAGAGAGAGAGAAATGCAGTTTGATCTAGAGATTATCATTTGAATGTTTTGCACATGGCGTATTGCACCAATTCATGTGTGGTTTATTTATAACTTTGAAGTGTTTTGTTGCCAGTAATTTATTTGAAAATACGAATGACAAAATGTACAGACAAAATTTGAACGTCATTTGTATACACCAGATCACACTGCTGACCATGTTCACTTGTTAGTGATTTATGAATTCACCATGAGTTTTGAGATGCCAACTTTTTAAAGTGGACTTATTTAATATTATATCTCCACGACTCCACCAATAATGGCACTTTTGATGTGATGATTTGCAAATTCAATTCAGTTTGACTTGTTACACAGATTTCTATTGGTTTCTTCCCCACAGTTTTGTGATATATATATAGTGCCTCATGAGAACCTCTCCCCATCACCTTATGATACAACCCATCTCTTCTCTATCCAGTAGATGTGCCAATAGGTACTATATTAAGTTAAAAAAGTTTCTTCCACACTGTGTTATTAAATATAGTGTCCCTCCTCCCTTTCTCATCCTAGCCTCTTGTTTCAACTTTATGAAAACCATTTAGTTTATCTATCCATTAGATATACCAAGAGATAATGAATTAAGTAAAAAAAAATATCTTTTAGTACATCTTCAACTCTCCCCCAGTCCCTCCATGAATTGTATGGTTTAGAATTCCATCTAGAATGGTATTTGCTTTCAGCTTGTGTACTCACCAACAGTACAATTAACGCCCAGTTCTGTGTGGTATTACGCACTGCACTTCAAGTGTGATAACTTGTGTTTGATATTAACATGAAGACTGCTGACAAGAGATGTGTTCAAAATAATACCCTGCTATCTCAGGGACTAGAGAGCCATTCTTATTCCTTTGTTTTATTTTTATTCTTCCAATGCCACCTATAAGTCATTGAAATAAATTGAATTAAAATTCTAAAAATGGTAAACAAGACTTTAGATTGATAACTGTTAAAATCATATTGTGAAAGTACCCCCCCCAATACACACACACACACACACATGCACGCACACACGCATGCATGCATGCACGCACACACACACACATACACACAGAAGTGCAATACTAAAAAGATACAAGCCCAAAGAAACAAAAAGATTGAAGGTTACAATGAACATTTCACATTTTAGTGCGTATATCTAAAATGTTTCATCATGGCTCCAGGTCTGACCCCCAGGTAATGGTGGCTATAGAGAAAGCTATAATGAAGGGACGGCCAGTGCTTCTAGAGAACTGTGAGAACAACCTGGACAGTATGATCATGCCGCTGATACACCATAGAAACACTGCATATGAAAATGATGAAAATGAAGGTAAAGGTTTGGGCTCAAAGGCATATTTGATCATAAGACATATTGAACATAAGACATGATGAATAATTTGAACAAAGTTAGGATGTTGATTTAAATGTGTAGAACATACTCTGTTGTTTTAATGTTATTGTTCACATCTTTTGTATACATTTAATAAGTAGTGGTACATACAAACTCAGATTTCTTTACAACTTCTATTTCCCTCATCAGAGCCAAGGATGATCCGTTTTTGTGGACGCCGCATCTTGTGCCACCCTGATTTCCGCCTCAATCTGGCAACACGTTCTCACAAGCCTCAATTCAGTCCCCACGTCGCATCCAGAACAACCCTCATCAATTACGGGATGTCCGGAGAGACGCTGGTGGAGGACCTGCTGTCACGAGCCTTTGCACGGGTTCGACCAGAGTTGTACAAGGAGCGGAAGCTGGCGCTGAAGAATATTCATCGCCAGAAGGAGGTTCTGGATCGGATAATGGAGTATTCCAAGAGAGACATGCTTGGCCACGGAGACAGCTGGGACGAGAGAGAGGTGGAATTCATCTCAGATGCGCAACAGAAGAAGACACAGGTAATTATTTGATAAATTATCATGCTGTTTCATTTCTTCTCTATAGAAATACATACAGAAGCACAAAGTTGGTGGATTTGTTTACTTGGGGATATTGATTGCACACTGTAAGGTAATTTGTAATGGGAATTAAATTTTGTGGATTATTGGAATTGATATAATTTGAAGATTGCTAAATGATTAATAGGTGCCAGCAATATCTTGGAAGATTGATATGATTATCAACATCAAATTGCTTCTCATTAATCTTCTTATATATCTTTTTTTCTAAATCGCATACTACTTAGTATATCAAAGGTAATTTAGAATACTTCCACAATATCATTTGAATTTATCTTTCAGATGGCCCAAAAGCTCCACGAAACGCAACTTTTCCTTGAGGAACTGGACATGCTGAAAGACGAGCTGTTCCCTATTGCGCGAAGAGGTGCCATGCTGTACGCCATCTTGCGGAGCATGTCTGCGGTGCAGAGAGAATACCAATTCACTTTGCCGTCCTTCTTGGCTCTGTTTGATGAGGCTGTTGGTGGTGACTTCCCTGAGGAGTACTATGATGAGTCTGATGCAGAGGATGTGAGTTTATAAAAAAAACCTCTTAATCAGATATTACAATGTGTTTTTTTTTCTCTAAATTTTCATCCCAAATAACCATTTACTACAATAAGAAAAAAATTAAAGAAAAAAATTAATCATAAATGTATTAATATCACAAATTCATGGCCTCACTAATGTTTAGTTTATCATGTTGCATAAAAGAACCTAAAAGAAGGTAAAGATGTTTTAAAAGGACCCTTTAAGGGAATTTGGGTGAACACATATGAAAAAAAAAATGTTCTTGTTAAAAAAAATGCATAAATTATTTCTTTAGAGATTGAAGGATTTTGCATACAAGGCACCAATTTTAGCCCTTTATCAAAAACGTGATACTGTATAGTCTTTAGAAATGATTTACTTTTTCCTTTATTATACAAAAGACAACAAAAAAATATAATTTCCTCAAATTTCTTCTGTTCCCCAGGACTATGATGATGAGGACAGCACAGTGCAGGAACAGCAGGGGTACCGTGCAGGCAGTACCAGTACCAAGTCCCGTACCTCTCACAGACAGCCCAAGGAAGACCAGAGTGCCAAGGGCTCCCACTATGAACACAAGAGTGATGTGGATAGCACTGGGATGGGGGCACTCTCAGGTAAGTTGGAAACTCAGGGTACAACTCATTGATAGTTCATGATCTTACTGAGGTAAGCTGGAAAGTTGGGGTACCACTCCTGAATAGTTTAGGACCTTACTAATAAAGTAAGCTGGAAACTCAGGGTACAGCTCTGATTTTATTATTCATATACTGTCATTGAGGTAATCTGGAAAGTCAGGGAAAAACCCTTTGAGAGAAGAATGTACTGAGGGTCATATTTAATGTAGAATCTCGGGACAAAATATATGATACAGCACCCTACCTTTATAATTAATTCATGCCATAATGATGAGAAAGACTTTTGAGCCCCTTCCCTACCTTGGTTCTGTAAAATATGTCTACATACATGATACCTACTAACTGCAGGGCATTGCCAGCCACATGCTACTAACACTACTAACACAGCAGTGACAGAGGAGTATGAATATGAACAGGATTTTGAGGAAATCTCACAGAGTGGATGTAAAAGTTAGTTTAATTGTTTAGTTACATGATGTGGTTCAGATGATAGATATTGTGTTATGCTTAGTATATACATATACTGATATTGCCATGGATGTGAGAATGTTTCATGTAGACTTTAAATTGCTTTGTTTAGACTGCCTGGCTTGCTTCAAAGTGGAGGTGTTTATGGTTTAAAATTCCATTTTCCTTATGTGCCATTTTGACAGTTTTTGAAAACCAAAATCAAGATTATTTCAATCTTTTAAATATATTTTATTTATTTGAAAATATACATTTAATTCTTTAAACGTTTAATCAAATCAAGATAATTTCTCATCATAATATCCCAGCCACTTGAAAAGAGATGAATATTTTCCTTTTTTTAGATTACCAAATCAAGATTATTTCATTTTTCAAAGTACTTTTTTCAAAATATTTCATTCTCTTGAAGACAAAAGCAGTACATTTTTATTGGAATTCACTCTTAAGTTAAGTTAGTGTAAATGTTGTGGTGTATAGTCAAGTTCTAATTGTTTGAAGGGGGGATGGGAAGTAACAGTTAGCAGTTAGGGTGAGAGTAGTAGAGCATGCAGACTTGCTTTAGGTGTTATTCTATGTACTTAGTCTAGTAACATTGAATTATACTTATGGCATTGACTTGCATTGCTAGATTTTCAGTGTAAATTATATAAAAAACAGTGTATGCATTGCATGACAGAAGTGTATTATACATACTACAGGTCTAGTTGGTAAAAAAATAAGTTGTTTGAAAAAAAGGCTTAACATGTTATCCATGCAACATCAGGTTTCAACCATTCATCAGTGAGTAAATCACCATGTGGCATAGGTAAAAACATGTTTAGTCTTAAAAACTATTTAGCTTTTTTACCATCTACACCCATTGATGAACCTATTTCATAACAGGTGTAGTTCTTCATGTAGATGTTGATGGAGTTTTACACTGTTTGACTTTGGCAATGTGTTTGTGTTGTATGGCTAGATTATAGTTCAATGCTACATTGTGTCACATCAGTGCTGCAGAAGTGAAATGCTTGTCACCTTTGGTGTCACAGTGGCTGATGTTGTGAATTGAATAGCTGTCAGGTTTTTTCACTTATGATTTAACACACAGTGATTTGTGTTCTCGTGTAATCACAAACACGACAGAAGGGTTCAGCATTTTATTTGATGTGGTAAATGTTGAAGCATTACTTTATAAGCATAGTTGTTTCAATTATTGTACGTTAGTACATACAAACACATTATTTGCTTTCAGACAAGAAGACCCATGGCAAAGGTATAAACCAGAAGTCTTGATTTTTTTCCATGTTGTCTGAACTATATATTCTTTGTATTTTTCTGTTTTTGCAGTTCTGATATTCATATTTCCATCTGGGTTTCTTGACAGTTTCTTGATGCTGTTGGTTTATTTTGCAGTTCTTTTGCCAATTTAAAGCTTCAGCAATTCATTTATTCTATTTTATTTTCATTTATATAGTCAAAGGTCTTATCCTAGGCCTTGTTATTATGTAAAGCCATAGAAGTAGAGAACATCTAAGTATAACAATAACTGCATATTCTTGTTTAATATGACATTTTCTTTGGATGTTTCTCTTTCATCAAACTTTTGAGCTATGTAGATGTTTGATATCATCTTTAATCTACTCTGAAATATGGGAAAAGCAAAGAAATAGATATATTTAAGCATTAGTTGCGTATAATGAAATAACCCTTCTATTAGTGCCTACATTATAATATTTCTATTAGGAATCAACAGCCAATACTTGTATGTACATGATTTTGTTTTTGAGGAATATTTTATTATTCTTTTGCACAATGATAAGCAATGATTTCTTAACTCACTGTAATAAATTCTTCTTGATATTTTAATGACCTTATTAAAAAAAAAAAAAAGAAAAAAACTGAAGATAAATCATTGACAATGTACTGAAATGCTTGGATATGAAAAGTTCATCTAACAGTATGTAAAATAGACCTGTCATGAACAGACCAGGGCTCCGTATCTCGAAAGGTTCGCTATGTTGCGCATGTGCGTTAGTGTCTCAATTCCATAACCGATTCTATTTTGAGATACGGGGCCATGGAATCGAGACGCTTGGACACGTGCGCAACATAGCAAACCTTTCGAGATACGGAGCCCAGGTGATGTGCAGTGTCATGCTGTACCAAGAGCACAATCTGGTGTTTCTCACCTAACACATTCCCTGTGTGTTGTAGGTGGTGGGAGGTCTTCACGTGGAGACCTGGCTTATGAAGGGGATTTTGAGGATGAGCACAATGAAGGTAACACACAGCAAGAAGAGGAAGGTAAGACATATTTTAAAAATTATCTGATTCAAAAATATTGTTCAGTATAATAATTTATTTCTTTTTGTATTGGAAACAATGGTTGATGACATATTGGACATAGAAGATGAAAACAGCTGCGTTTTCACAAGAAGTTAAGGTTTTTCTAGAAATGTACTTTTCTCTTAGCTTTGAAGAAGAAAATGTAATGGAAATGATCATGATGCTAAATCATTAGTATTTGCACTAAAAGCAACCAAGTGTATCTGCTGAAGGAGTGGAATTATTCATTATCACAGACAGTCATAGCTGTACTTATTTTTAATGTGAAATAATATAGATAAATCACTTATAATTGATTAAATGATTTAAATAAGCCAGTTGTATTTTATTATTGAAATATTAAACATTTCAAGGAGAGACTGACATCAATGATGACCCAGAGAAGCTGCCAGCCTGGGAGCTCCCTGACATACCTGACCTCCCCTCAGAGGGAGTGGACTATTCCAGTATGGCAGAAGATCAGGTGAAAACACTGGTGGATGCCGTCACCACCACACTGTACCAGCACATTAAACAGTGAGTTTTTTTGTTTTGTTTTTTTAATTTTGAAATTGATTGGTTAATTTATTGAAATATTTATTTATTGTCAAAGAATTGTGTTTTCATGATTTCGATAGAAAATTCAATATTTAGATTTTGAAAGATTCAATTATTCTCAGTGAATTCAGTTTAACATATCTTTTTTTTTTTTTTTTTTTTTTTTGCCGTATAATTTGACTTCTGATTTCTGACATTCTAGCTAAACTAAACTTAATGTTAAATAAAAAAAAAGTTGTTGTATGCATTGTGAATACCAAAGAGTTCAACACCTCTTACACACTTTTGATTTAAGTATTTTTCAAAAAGTCGAATAAGACAAGATATTTTTTTTCTTTTTGAATATTTAAAGTTCTACACCCTATTCAATATATTCCATATCTAATCCTAGGAGTCTGTATGATGAGCATGCGTTGCTGTTTGCCACCATGGTAACACTGAACATCCAGGTAGAGGGAGGGGCAGACTTCTCTGATGAAGAACTCTCTCTGCTTCTACAAGGTAACATATTTGGATCACTGTCCTATGTAGGACATGATGAAAATTTAAAAGAATTCATGTACAAGATTTGGTGTTTTACAATTTGTTAACTTACTGCAACAAAGATCAGGATATATATGAACTTAATTTAATTCAGTCTTGTGAGACACTTCTAACCTATTTTACCAAAGAGTGAGACTTATAAACATGTAAATATTGTGTTAAGTCATAAGTTTCATAATGTAAGACCAGAATTTAAGGCCAAATTTATCTTTCTGTCTTTAGTAACGCTATTTATTTCCGTTACAAACTAGGTAACCCAGGAATTGGCATGACCTTGACCTTGACAGACTTTGAGTCCCAGGCATCAGATCCTGATTGGATAGCCAAGGACAGATGGGATGACATCCTGGCCATGTCAGTACTCCCTGGGCCCCTGGACGCCATATGTTGCCACATTGCTGAGTTCTCAGAGGCGTGGAAGGCCTGGTATAACCTCCCTGAGCCCGAGACAGCCGCCATGCCCAATGATAAGAATGAAGGGGAAGCAGGTGGGTGTGAATATGTGCTAGGTTATGATGAAAATTTGCATTGAGTGATGTTTGAACAGTGAATTGATTTTTTTTTTTTTATATGTGAGTTTGGAAATAAATATCTCAGAAAACTGCGCAGAAAAGCAGACAAGAATTGATATAGATGGTTAAATGCTGCTTTAGTTTGCGTGTGGTTTTTAGACTTGTTATACATTGATTTATGGAGGTACATGTAGTAATTAATATCTTTCTCCACAAAACTCCACACTATTTCAATCCTCTGCATAGATTTTAGTCTTACTGGAGAACCATTTTTATGAAAATGTTACAAGGTTGCCAAAACTATTCAAAGAATATAAGTTATTATCAAAACTTTGTTTTTCAATCAGAAAACCAACCTCAGAAAAATACCGAGGAGGAAGATGACGGGATTCCAGAAGACCCAGACATACCCCTTACTGACTTCCATCGCATGCTGCTAGTACGCATGATGCGACCTGACCGCACCCCTGCTGCCATGGCAACCTATGTTAACAAATACCTTGCCCCCCACCTCACTGCAGGCAGGGAACCAAAGCTCAGCGATATCCAGAGACTGATGAAGGGTAATGAATATGGGCTGCTGGTTTTACTACCGCCAACTCCAGCATGCTCAGACCAGCACCCCACCTCTAGCCTGAATATGATTGAACACCCCAGAGAAACATTATTAAACATGGCCAAGGTAAGCAGGGATGAGATTTTTTCCAACCATTGGCAGATTTATAATATATCACAAGAAAATGTTTATACAAGTTATGCACTAACTACGCCTTGCTTCTCTCATGTGAAGGAAGATCGCAAGAAAGGAAGTCCGCAGCCATATTGGAGACTTGTTTCACTGGGCTACATTAACCTTATCTCAATACTGTACTATTGTTTTTTATATGAAAACACATTGTCTTATATCATTATTCTACTAATTTTTTTCTTGGATGAAAAACACATTATCTTACATGATTGTTGTAACTTATGGTCTAGTTATTTTCGTATAGAGAACGCCTTATCCTATATGATTGTATTAGTATTTATTTTCTAATATAAGAACACCTCACCCTCTGTCCTCAGGTGGGTGGAATAGATGTGGAACACGTGGTAATGGGAGAGGGTTGTGAACACCAGGTTGAGAAAGCTCTAGAGGAGGGTCAGAAGAAAGACTGCTGGATACTGATAGAGAACTTACACCTCTCACCTCAGAGCTTCTACAAACCACTGAAGAACCACCTGGCCAGACTGGCTAAAATGATAGGTGAGGCGGTAGAGATGGATTCAAGGACAGATATGGTTGTCTGGGCTGATTGGTCTCCTGTGACACATAACTCAGCCAATCAATAAATAAATATATAAATGAATAATTGTATAATTCGATAGTGAATGTTTAGAAAATTCTGAAATTCCCCTGAAATAAAGAACCTTAGTTATTTCTAGTTAATTTAAAATGAGCTTATAGCATTTTTATCTATTCCCTCATCATGAAGTTAAAACATCAGCTGTGTAGGAGAATAAAGAAGACCAATTTATTTCTTGTCCTGCATTTACATCACTTTGACTTATTGAGCTAAAAAGAAAAAAAAAGGGAGATGTTAACTTCAAGAGTTCAATCAATGACAATTATCATTAAATTATTATTATATAATTAATAACCTAAGAAAAAAATTAAGTTAAAACCTTTCATCAGTGCATTATTATTATTATTATTATTATTATTATTATTATTATTATTATTATTATCAGCCACAGAAGAGAAGAACACCCTAGTGTGGATCACCTCAGAACCATCCAGTCGTGTCCCTCCACAGCTGATCCAGTGTCTCCACACCCTGTCCTGGCAGTTTGTAGGACCCCAGCTGGTGGAGACACCTAGGGAGGAGGAGACCATTGACCTCACTTTTAACTTTGGTTCTCTGAAGTCTGTTCTGCCTTCAGGTGTGTACTACAGTGAGCTCTCAGATATTAGGATGATGGATTGATGGTGATAAGTAATGATAATGGAGTTAACAAGAGCTGGTTTTTTTCCTGGTGATAGTGTAATTTCTTTGTGTTTTGTGGTTATAGTGTATTGAAATGATTTGAAAGTGCAGGATAGGAAAATGAAAATATCTGTGACCAACCATAAAGATTGGAGAAGAATTACTTTATAAATTTATTTCAATCTATCAATAGCTGTTATCAATATGACTTCCCTAGGAATCACAAGTAACTTCTTATTAACCAGAAACCTTTCTCTTCCCCAGCCATAGCCTACGCCCTGAACACCACCCCTCTGAGCCACTGGGAGAGGGTGAAAACCTTCAGCCAGCCCCTCAAACTACTCATCTATGGGGTAGGGGTGATCCAGGGGGCTCTCCTGGCCAGGCAGACATTTGGCAGCCAGGGTCTGAGTCAGTGGAGTACGCTCAGCAGGACTCACATGGTGCAGGTGATTGATATGGTGGACGGGGCGGTGAGCAGGACGAAGGAACCATCTGTGGAGGAGCTGGGGCCAATTATATCTAAGGTGAGTCAGGAGACTGTCTTAGCAGTTATTAGGCTAGTCATGCCTAAGTTTCACAATAAATAAATAAATAAATAAAAACTTAAGTCAGGTTGGAGAAGAAGGTGGGAGAAAAGCAAGTAATATTTTGACTCCATCTGGATATCCTAATATGTAAAAAAAATTTTTTTGCTCTTTTTCTTGGATGAAGTCTGTGTTTTGAGGAGGCTCTGCAGTTTCCTTATGAGATTTAATCTGCTATTTTTCTTCCCCAGATGGTGTATGGAAATATTCTAGTCAATGCCTGGGACCAGGACTATAGCGCCGCCCTGGTGGCTGCTGTGATGAAGGGGCTCCAAGCTGGTGCCATCACCCTGGGAGACGTACAGATACCAATGCCTTCTGCTGGCACAGGTGGGGACTGTTGTCATGACAACTGTGGTCATGGCGACTGTGGTCATGACAACTACCACTTTATATTGATTAGCGTTCAAATTATTGTGCTTGTCACATGACTTTTCTTAGATATGTGGAACAGTTTTCTTGATGTATTGTAAGAGATACAATTGTTGATTATTAAAAATGAGATAGTGTCTATTGAGAAGTCTTTATTTATTTATTTATGTATTTATTTATTTATTTTGACATTCCAGTACCATTTTGCCATTCCAGTAAAGAAAAACAGTTTTAAATTGCTCATTTCATATTCTTTTTCATATAAGATATAGGCACAGAAGTCAGCCTTACACCTCACATCAATATAGTTTCTTATGCATGTAAATTATTGATTGCAGAACCCACAGACTATGGTACGTGGATTGTGGAGCAGATGAAAGAAGACAGCAACTCCCTCCAGGCACTCTCCCTGCATACCAGTGTGGAGAAAGAATACAATGAATCCAGGTAAGTCTAAAACTTATTTATTTATTTATTTATTTATTTATTTATTTATTTATTTATTTTATAAATCAGGAGACTTTTTCCTGGTATTAAATGTTGTTGGGCAGTGTTTTTTCGTAAGAAGTGGACAACTACAAAGTTATCATCACTTCCTATTTTTTAGCGGTATCGAATTCCTTGATCACCTGGACAAGCTGTACGAGACACAAAACATGGACATCAGCTCCGATGTCACCCCAGCTAAAACAGTTGACACAATGAAGCTACGCAACGCTATTGACAAGTGCACGGAATCCTTGCCTCCATTACTGATGCTTGGTGATGCGCCCCAGCAGGAGACGGATGAGGAGTATAGCTTCCCGTATCACTGGCCCAGTGTGGTAAGCCTGGCCAGTGCATCTAGTACTCTCATGCCGGAGTCCATTGGACACGTCCTGTTGCAGGTACAGTATATGGCTTGGTGACAGACAGTGATTGAGATTTAAAATAAATGCAGCTTAGTGTGGAAAACAAAAAGCATGATTAAAAGAAAATAAAAAATTAATGTTGTATTCACTGTTGAAGAGTGAGTGTGTCAGACACAATATATGCTAGGAGGTCTTGGATTGGGGGAGCTTTCTATCTTCCGTTTCCCTATATAATCCTATTTCATCCTATTTTCCACAAAAATACTTTTCTATCCCACTTTATGGTACTATGCCAACACTGTCTTGTATTTTTACTGGCAATTTTAATCATGATGAGTTTTTCTCTCTGTTTCAGGAATGCCAGTGGCTGAACTCCTTACTGTGTTACATCAGGCAGAATATCTATGACATCAGGAACTCTCTGGTGGGAGGTACCGAGTCCCTGCCTAACCCACTCAAAGAGGCTGTCTTCTGCCTGCAGGAGGAGTATGTGCCAGTGACTTGGGTCCACCCCAACAAGCAGCCTTGTACTCATACTTTAGACTCCTGGCTCACAGGTAAAACCGTTATTATTATTATTATCATGTTTTGCAGGGTTGAGACTTCTTGGGAGCAAAAAATATCATTGGTCTATTGGTCACTATATTTTATGACTCAACTCTCCTTTGTGTGCAAGATTGATGTGTGCTCTTATAAAAGGTGTTCAGGATCTTGCCATTAAAAGGCAATAGGCATTGCATTATGTTGCTTTTTTATTTCATTTATTCCTTCATTTTATAATAATTATTATTATTATTATTAACAGACTTGAGGAAGCATTACTCACAGCTGAACTCATGGGTCAAATCTGGCATGGTGCCAACTTATGACAAAGAGGGTAATGTCAGTAATTCGGGGATAGCCAGAGGATCCCTCAATGTTCTATGGCTTGGAGGATTGGTGAAACCACAGGCGCTCTTCACTGCTTTGAGGCAGGAAAAAGCTGTTGTCATGGAAACCACCATGGATGAGGTAGGTATTTCAATGTCAATGTGAAACAGTTCCATTCTGGATTAACAATGTTGTGAAAATTTGTTGTAGGCTGTGTCTGTTCAGAGGAACACAACAGGTGTTGCTTGGATACATTTGTATCTTCAATATCAAAAACATGAATATTATTGCCGTCTTAACAAACATGAAATGTTCTTCTTTCTGAGCAAATTTAGATATCTTTCTTCAACTGCCTTTGTTTTGATAACATGAAACTGGGATTTTTTATGTAAGATTTTTTAAAACTGTAAGTGTTGCTATGTAGAACTTAATGTGATAATTATCTGGATTATCATCCAATCAGATCGCACTGAGTTGTGAAGTGCTGGAGGGTGCCGTTATAGAGCAGATGGAGGTACAAGACGAGGGCGGACTTTACATACGAGATCTACTGATGCAAGGTGCATGCTGGGATGGGGAAAATGGCAGCCTTGCTCCTGCCACGTAAGAGTTTTTATTCTTCTTAATACGCAATAGTAACAGTATGACAAAAAATAAGGCGATAGAATGAGATCATGTACGTAATGTAATGCAGAATAATATTATAATTAGAAAAGTTGATAAATTAAATGTTACAATGATTAGATGTGATGTTATGTAGTGTTATGTGATAATGATATTATCTATAATGACATAAAAAAATAATACGATTTGGTATGGTATATAATATCAGTATGTATTCCTGTTCATAGCAATAAACCAGATCAAATTTGCATTGGCCTTTATGTCATTTTACTATATATTCTGTCATCTGTTGAAATTATATCTATATTTCTCCCATCTCCCAGGTCCTTCCTGTATCCTATGCCACTGATGTATGTGAAGCCAGTAATGAGATCAGAACTGGAGGAGATGAAGCAGCAGATCAGTCTGTATGATGTCCCAGTCTTCATGAACAGGGTAGGTGGGAGATATCACACAGCAGATCAGTCTGTATGATGTCCCAGTCTTCATGAACAGGGTAGGTGGGAGATATCACACAGCAGATCAGTCTGTATGATGTCCCAGTCTTCATGAACAGGGTAGGTGGGAGATATCACACAGCAGATCAGTCTGTATGATGTCCCAGTCTTCATGAACAGGGTAGGTGGGAGATATCACACAGCAGATCAGTCTGTATGATGTCCCAGTCTTCATGAACAGGGTAGGTGGGAGATATCACACAGCAGATCAGTCTGTATGATGTCCCAGTCTTCATGAACAGGGTAGGTGGGAGATATCACACAGCAGATCAGTCTGTATGATGTCCCAGTCTTCATGAACAGGGTAGGTGGGAGATATCACACAGCAGATCAGTCTGTATGATGTCCCAGTCTTCATGAACAGGGTAGGTGGGAGATATCACACAGCAGATCAGTCTGTATGATGTCCCAGTCTTCATGAACAGGGTAGGTGGGAGATATCACACAGCAGATCAGTCTGTATGATGTCCCAGTCTTCATGAACAGGGTAGGTGGGAGATATCACACAGCAGATCAGTCTGTATGATGTCCCAGTCTTCATGAACAGGGTAGGTGGGAGATATCACACAGCAGATCAGTCTGTATGATGTCCCAGTCTTCATGAACAGGGTAGGTGGGAGATATCACACAGCAGATCAGTCTGTATGATGTCCCAGTCTTCATGAACAGGGTAGGTGGGAGATATCACACAGCAGATCAGTCTGTATGATGTCCCAGTCTTCATGAACAGGGTAGGTGGGAGATATCACACAGCAGATCAGTCTGTATGATGTCCCAGTCTTCATGAACAGGGTAGGTGGGAGATATCACACAGCAGATCAGTCTGTATGATGTCCCAGTCTTCATGAACAGGGTAGGTGGGAGATATCACACAGCAGATCAGTCTGTATGATGTCCCAGTCTTCATGAACAGGGTAGGTGGGAGATATCACACAGCAGATCAGTCTGTATGATGTCCCAGTCTTCATGAACAGGGTAGGTGGGAGATATCACACGGTTGAGAAGGCTGGGGTTTTAGTAGTATTTCTGGGGAAGGGGTTTTAGGGGTTTTGCACATATATAACTGGGTTATCATTCAGACAGGGGGCAGAGCTTTACTATGAAAAACGAGGTCAAAGTGAGAGTAAAGTGATGACTCAGAGGTAGTTTTCAATTCATTGGCCCAAAACTTTTACTACAAAAAATTCACAATTTTTAGCCATGATTTAATACTTTGAAATATATGATAAATATACATAGAATTGTTTATGAGTTTGTCTTGTTCAATGATCCTATGATAAGAATTTTAAGAGTGTATCGTGTTCTAACTCCAGGCCAGGCAGGTGTGTGCGCTGACCCTACCCCTGGCCAGTAAAGACCCTGTGGAAACATGGCAGCTAGCCACCGTGGCCCTTATACTGGATCCAGGTAACACACACACACACACACACACACACACACACACACAGCCTTACAAATATATAAACACAGGCTTGCACATGGACTTCATGGCATGTTATTGTTGTAATGATAATTATAAGATACTGTTAATCTTTATTGATGAAAGTAAGTCAGTGGTATATTTCCAGATTTATTGAATTATCTTCCTCATATTGTAGCATGAATATATATGTCTATACTGTTGTTATTTCAGGGGTCCCAGAGGATGCCCACCGCAAGCCTCGCAAACATGCCGCAGTCAAAGCCATGCCCTACCATGTGGGTGATGCAGATGCAGCTCGTGCACTGAGCACACGACAGGCCAACACGGCAGACCTCTTTGAGGGTGCAGAATCACAGATGGATGCTCGTATGTCTGCACGATCACGCTTGTCTGCACGTTCATACCACTCCCAGATGTCGTACCGCCCCATGTCACCCCGCGCCCCTCCACTTCCGCCTGACCTGCAGATGCACAGGGAACAGGTAATGACAGAGGTGTCTGACGAGCCAGAGCAGAGTCCAAGAAGTCAGGCTGGTTCACAGCAAGGACAAAAGCAACAAACAAATTTACCACAGAATAAGTTCCCTTCCAATGACTCATTGGGCAAGCAGTCTCAAAAATCTGTGGGCTCAAGGAAAAAAGGTTCCCTGAATAGGCCACCTAGTGAGCAATCAAGGAAATCGGTGGAGGGAGGTATTGCCACAGGCCCTGAGTCAAGGCCACTGAGTCGCCACTCACGTGATGCAGAAGAGGGTGTCACAGAGGGCGCTCAGGGGCAGTCTCCAAAAGCATCTCAAGCTGGCTCAGTGAAGGGCCAATCACCAAGGGCCTCTCAAGCTGGCTCAGTGAAGGGCCAATCACCAAGAGCCTCGCAAGCTGGCTCAGTGAAGGGCCAATCACCAGCAGCATCTCAAGCTGGCTCAGTGAAAGGGGAATCCCCCAGAGGAGGGTCACAGGCAGGGTCTGTCAAAGGTCAACCACAGGGGTCAGAAGGTCAAAGGTCACGTCGGCCTAGCCAGCAATCTGCCACTAAGGAAAGTGATGAGAATAAATCAGACTCTGAGAAACAGGCCAGTGCTGGAGAGTGATATGTCCATTCTGAGAGAGAAACTGACACAAGCGGTCATTGAACTGTTGCATGAAATTTAATTCATCCTTGACATTGAAAATGTATTTGTTCTTTCTTTGGAGTAGAACTGCATAATATAACTCTCGGCATGACATTGCAATTGTGGAGGTAATTTGATTAGGAGTAAAGATTTACTTGCTATTTTAAAGTGGAACTTTTCGAATTCATTTTATATTGATATATTACTGCTGAGGTGTCTCAGAAGGGAAACTGTATATTGTGTAAGATTTGTTACACTAATATAACTTTTATACATGAAAAACATGTATGTGCTCTATATAAGACATTCATGAAAACCCGTCCATAGATCTAGGCACACTGTGATATGTTAGGAAATTGTATTAATAAGATATTTACCTAATTTTACTTGAACTGAACTGCTGTTTTGTGTTGGGAACGTTTGTTCCAATGATTTTTTGTCATTTGTTCATTGTGATTGACAATTTTTGTGTAATTTTTAGAGGATCAATATTATAAATTTTGATAAAAAATGTTTATTGTTGTTTATGGGTTTTAACTGCATAAGTATTATTTTATTATAATTCATTATTTGCCTTTTAACTGTATGCTAAATGCATATAATTGTTTTCATATTCAAATTTGATTGTAGATCAGTTTCCTTTTATTTTCTTAGTATTTTTAAATAAATTTTCTTTGAAAAGATTCTGGGCCATCGACAAGACCCAAGTTGACCTTGAAAACATTAAAAAGAATAATACTTGGACTTCATATTACAAGAATTTATTCCTCCCTCTGTCTCACATAAACAATTAAGCTAGAATGCTTAACAAATAAATAATAAATAACACGATGAGATTTCAGTAACACCTTATACAATATAAGTCAATATTCCTAATAACTGTAACGATGAAAGTGCAAATCTAATAAATACAGCTTCTAGGTTATTTCATAACAAATCAACCAAACAACTAGTTTTTATTTGCAGGTATCAATCTAGGACCTGTTGAAAATTGTGAAGCATTTTATATGGCACATCAGTTCATTTGTTTTCACCCTGACAATGACAAAGTTTTTTTCTGTTTCTACGATCTTCCAAATCTAAGAATTTATTACATTTTCCCCGACATAACCAATTGTAGGTACTTAATATTATGGATATAATTTGACAAGAAAAGGATGTCTATTCACTCTACCTTATAAATGTTAACAAAATGAATCAAATTTCATACCAGTCCTTGAACTGAATTGGATATAGAAAATCAAAAGTATTCTATTACAACCTCAACAATGGTTTTAATATAAATAGTAGTAAAATTCACCAATATACCTCTTAGTATGCTGTGCTTTTTGAAAAGATTTTTTTTCTTTGTGGTCCTATCACCTAATTTTCACAGGGGTTCTTAAAATAGAAAATGGAGCTTTCTAGCTTGTCATACCCCAGATACCAATATGTACCTGTGAATTCTGAACACCACAAACAACAAGAATGTAACAGTGTGTGGCAAATTTCCCCTAAAACCTTTTACAGGTGTGATATATTATCTGAAATGAGTATCTTTGCCAGCTCCCTCCAGAATACCTCCAACTCTTTTTTCAGTGAAATAGACCCAAACTCCACAAAATCAAAACACTGACAATATCCGCAATTCTTCTACATGAAAATACAAATGGTTCATTTTCATCCTAAATGTTACAAAGTTCCCAGTGAGACTTGAAATGTTCAAATTTTTACTGATGAAAAACTATCAATGTGCTGTATTGTGATAATGATGTTAATGATGTGTGGAGAATAAAATGGGTGAGAGAAGGCTTGTACATAGACCAACAACACTGCCATAAAACATGAAATTCCACCAAAAACACAACAATAGCACCTGTCACCAATGTTCATATCAATAATTATAATAAATGAAAAAAAAATCTCCCAAATGACTACCCTCAATTCTGTTTCAGAATGTCGTGGAATTGCTCATGAAAAGAAATAATTACACATTCTAAAAACTAGTTCCCATTTCTGTTATTTTAAAATCTTAATTCCTTTTCCCTGAAGCTTCTATTTCAGTATGTTAAGATAGACAAGACGGCAGCAGCAGCAGATCGGGGTTACATGTAAGAAGAAGACAAAAGCATAGGCAACCTTCTGTCACACTGTTGAACCAAAACTGGTTTAGATGTTAATCAAGTCACCAGACAGATGTACGTATTAATCAGCCAGTGCTTTAATGGCAGGAAAGTTGAGGAAGCTTTAATCATTGAACACCTACCCCCACTCCAGCTCTCCTCTGTCTAATCATTTGCCTCTCTGTTATCAGGATGGATTAAAATGACTGGCATATATTCATTTGGCTATCTGGTGACCAGTTATGAACTTTAACCTTCTAAATGTAAAACTTCCAGCACAAGGTGCCTAGAGCATACCAGACATTAATAAATTCTTATACATGAATGGAATTCTTCATTAGAACTACAAGGAATGAGTGATAAGTAAAAGAAGTACGTATAAAGATTTAAAGCTGAATTCAATTCACCATTTCAGAGGAGAACAATAATTTAAGTTGATAAGGAAGAGTATAGGCGTCGTATAGATGTCTTAATATATTTTTCAATCACCATAAAACTTGTGTTTCCTCCCATTTTTCTAAATACTCCTCTTCAGTACAATCAGATCAAGGTTATTTTTCACATCATCCCTCTCAAAAAACACAAATAAATAACGAAATAAAGAACAAGAAGGCTTTGACCTCTTCTGACAAAAGGTGACCTTGACCTTCAATGACTTATGCAGCCTGGCTGTTGTCAAAAGATATTGTTCCAAACCCGTTCTGTTTGCACCCATTCATCTCGACCGCACTTTGTGGGTTCGTACCATCTTGCTCATTCCGACTGTCAATACTATCCCTGCTTACTTCATGGTCATCGAGTTCATTTTTTAACTGTTCTTCATTCTCCAAGCAGTTTTTGGTACTGCCATTTTCACAAATGTCACTGTCACAACGACTATTTTCAAAGTCACCATTTTGTTCTCCCATCAGGTCATCTTTGGGTTCCTCTTTAACACCGTCTCTGTTGCAACTTCGTGCATCTTCATTTTCCTCGTCAAATGTTTTTTCCTTCATCCCGATCAGTTCCTCTGCAAACTCTGCCATGCCATATTGCTGTGCAATACGCAGGCCTTCATCGAAAAGGGTCTCCTGTACGAATTGTCTTGTTTTTTGTGGATTTGCCTTTGGTGGAACTCTGTAGAAATCATGTCTAGAAAAGTCCAGATCTTCTTCGTGTCCCTCGTGTTGAGGAGATGTGCTCCCACTTGGAATATTCGAAGAGTCTACAAAAATATAAAATTTATTCAGTGAAATAGCTTTGTTCCTTGTATAATGATGGTAAAAAGGAGATTGGATCTAAAGGGGCAGTGAAGTGACTTCACCTTCAGATGCTCAAAGTGTCAACAAACAGCCAGATGGGATTTTATATATCTTTGGCACAATGGGGNCAGTCTTCATGAACAGGGTAGGTGGGAGATATCACACAGCTGAGAAGAAGGCTGGGGTTTTAGTAGTATTTCTAGGGGAAGGGTTTTTTTTTTTTTTTTTTTTGGAGGGGGGGTGTACATTTATATAACTGGGTTATCAATCAAACGGGGGGCATATGAAAAGCAAGGTAATAGTCAAAGTTTGACATAATTTTTAACTCATGCTTTGTTGCTCAACATTTAATTTTTAACTCAGGCTTTGTTGCTCAACATTTACCCTATTCAGAGGGACCATGGCCATGATTAATGTCCAAAAACGTTAAAAGCATTCACAATTTTAAACCACAATTATTACTGTGAAATATATGATAAATGAACACTGAATTCTTTATGAATTTGTCCCATTCAATGATCTTATGATAAGAATATTTAATTGCTATATTTTGTTCTTTCTCCAGGCCAGACAGGTGTGTGCCCTCACCCTACCTCTGGCCAGTAAAGATCCTGTGGAGACATGGCAGCTAGCCACCGTGGCCCTTATACTGGATCCAGGTATGACATGCATGAGTGGACACGAGTATACATGTCCACACACACACACACATCAAAACAGTCGGAGAAATATATAAATTCAGGCTTGCACATTGACTCCATAAAATTGGCATATTATGGTTATAATGATAAGATACTGTTAATCCTTTCTTGAAAATGGTAAATGCATGGTATCTTTTATGAATCATTATCCTCCTAATGTAATCTGTCAATTAGAAATGTGTTTCTACTGCTGTGTTTTTTAGGGGTCCCAGAGGATGCCCACCGTAAGCCTCGCAAGCATGCTGCAGTCAAAGCCATGTCGTATCACGTGGGTGATGCAGATGCAGCGCGTGTACTCAGCACACGCCAGGCTAACACAGCGGACCTCTTCGAAGGTGCAGAATCACAGATGGACGCTCGTATGTCTGCTCGATCCCGTTTGTCTGCACGTTCATACCACTCCCAGATGTCGTACCGCCCCATGTCACCCCGCGCCCCTCCACTCCCACCTGACCTGCAGATGCACAGGGAACAGGTCATGACGGAGGTGTCTGATGAGCCCGAGCAAAGTCCCAGAAGTCAAGCTGGTTCACAGCAAGGACAAAAACAACAGACAAATTTACCACAGAATAAGTTCCCCTCCAATGACTCATTGGGTAAGCAGTCTCAGAAATCTGTGGGCTCACGGAAAAAAGGTTCCCTGAACAGGCCACCTAGTGAGCAGTCAAGGAAATCAGTTGAGGGTGGTATTGCCACAGGACCTGAGTCAAGGCCACTGAGTCGCCACTCACGTGATGCAGAAGAGGGCGTCACAGAGGGCGCTCAGGGGCAGTCTCCAAAAGCGTCTCAAGCTGGCTCAGTGAAGGGCCAATCACCAAGGGCCTCTCAAGCTGGCTCAGTGAAGGGCCAATCACCAAGAGCCTCGCAAGCTGGCTCAGTGAAGGGCCAATCACCAGCAGCATCTCAAGCTGGCTCAGTGAAAGGGGAATCCCCCAGAGGAGGGTCACAGGCAGGGTCCGTCAAAGGTCAACCACAGGGGTCAGAAGGTCAAAGGTCACGTCGGCCTAGCCAGCAATCTGCCACTAAGGAAAGTGATGAGAATAAATCAGACTCTGAGAAACAGGCCAGTGCTGGAGAGTGATATGTCCATTCTGAGAGAGAAACTGACACAAGCGGTCATTGAACTGTTGCATGAAAATTTAATTCGTCCTTGACATTGAAAATGTATTTGTTCTTTCTTTGGAGTAGAACTGCATAATATAGCTCTCAGCATGACATTGCAATTGTGGAGATAATTTGATTATGAGTAAAGATTTACTTGCTATTTTAAAGTGGAACTTTTTTGAATTAATTTTATATTGATATATTACTGCTGAGGTGTCTCAGAAGGAAAACTGTACATTGTGTAAGATTTGTTACACTAATATAACTTTTATACATGAAATACATGTATGTGTTCTACATAAGACATTCATGAAAACCCGTCCATGTATCTAGGCACACTGTGATATGTTAGGTAATTGTATATATAGGATATGTACCTAATTTTACTTGAACTGAACTGCTGTTTTGTGTTGGGAACGTTTGTTCCAATGATCTTTTTGTCATTTGTTCATTGTGATTGACAATTTTTTGTGTAATTTTTAGAGGATCAATGTTATAAATTTTGATGAAAAATGTTTATTGTTGTTTATGGGTTTTAACTGCATTAGTATTATTTTATTATAATTCATTATTTGCCTTTTAACTGTATGCTAAACGCATATAATTGTTTTCATATTCAAATTTGATTGTAGATCAGTTTCCTTTTATTTTCTTAGTATTTTTAAATAAATTTTCTTTGAAAAGATTCTGGGCCATCGACAAGACCCAAGTTGAACTTGAAAACACTAAAAAAAGAATACTTGGTCTTCATATTACAAGAATTTATTCCTCCCTCTGTCTCACATAAACAATTAAGCTAGAATGCTTAACAAATAAATAATAAATAACACGATGAGATTTCAGTAACACCTTATACAATATAAGTCAATATTCCTAATAACTGTAACGATGAAAGTGCAAATCTAATAAATACAGCTTCTAGGTTATTTCATAACAAATCAACCAAACAACTAGTTTTTATTTGCAGGTATTAAACTAGGACCTGTTGAAAATTGTGAAGCGTTTTATATGGCACATCAGTTGTTTTCATCTTGACAATGACAAAGTTTTTTCTGTTTCTACGATCTTCCAAATCTAAGAATTTACGACATTTTCCCCGACATAACCAATTGTAGGTACTTAATATTATGGATATAATTTGACAAGAAAAGGATGTCTATTCACTCTACCTTATAAATGTTAACAAAATGAATCAAATTTCATACCAGTCCTTAAACTGAATTGGATATAGAAAATCAAAAGTATTCTATTACAACCTCAACAATGGTTTTAATATAAATAGTAGTAAAATTCACCAATATACCTCTTAGTATGCTGTGCTTTTTGAAAAGATTTTTTTTCTTTGTGGTCCTATCACCTAATTTTCACAGGGGTTCTTAAAATAGAAAATGGAGCTTTCTAGCTTGTCATACCACAGATACCAATATGTACCTGTGAATTCTGAACACCACAAACAACAAGAATGTAACAGTGCATGGCAATTTTCAATTTTCCCCTAAAACCTTTTACAGGTGTGATATATTATCTGAAATGAGTATCTTTGCCAGCTCCCTCCAGAATACCTACATCTCTTTTTTTTTTGTGAAATAGACCAAGCTCCACAAAACCAAAACACTGACAATATCCGCAATTCTTCTACATGAAAATACAAATAGTTCATTTTCATCCTCAATGTTACAAAGTTCCCAGTGAGACTTGAAATGTTCAAAATTTTACTGATGAAAAACTATTGATGTGCTGTATTGTGGTAATGATGTTAATGATGTGTGGAGAATATAATGGGTGAGAGAAGGCTTGTACATAGACCAACAACACTGCCATAAAACATGAAATTCCACCAAAAACACAACAATAGCACCTGTCACCAATGTTCATATCAATAATTATAATAAATGAAAAAAAAAAATCTCCCAAATGACTACCCTCAATTCTGTTTCAGAATGTCGTGGAATTGCTCATGAAAAGAAATAATTACACATTCTAAAAACTAGTTCCCATTTCTGTTATTTTAAAATCTTAATTCCTTTTCCCTGAAGCTTCTATTTCTGTTAAGATAGACAAGACAGCAGCAGCAGCAGATCAGGTTACATGTAAGAAGAAGACAAAAGCATAGGCAACCTTCTGGCACACTGTTGAACCAAAACTGGTTTAGATGTTAATCAAGTCACCAGACAGATGTACATATTAATCAGCCAGTGCTTTAATGGCAGGAAAGTTGAGGAAGCTTTCATCATTGAACACCTACCCACACTCCAGCTCCCCTCTGTCTAATCATTTGCCTCTCTGTCAACCGTATGAATTAACATAACTGGCATATATTCATTCTGCTGTCAAGTGACCAGTTATGAACTTAAACCTTCTAAATGTAAAACTTCCAGCACAAGGTGCCTAGAGCATACCAGACATTAATAAATTCTTATACATGAATGGAATTCTTCATTAGAACTACAAGGAATGAGTGATAAGTAAAAGAAGTACGTATAAAGATTTAAAGCTGAATTCAATTCACCATTTCAGAGGAGAACAATAATTTAAGTTGATAAGGAAGAGTATAGGCGTCGTATAGATGTCTTAATATATTTTTCAATCACCATAAAACTTGTGTTTCCTCCCATTTTTCTAAATACTCCTCTTCAGTACAATCAGATCAAGGTTATTTTTCACATCATCCCTCTCAAAAAACACAAATAAATAACGAAATAAAGAACAAGAAGGCTTTGACCTCTTCTGACAAAAGGTGACCTTGACCTTCAATGACTTATGCAGCCTGGCTGTTGTCATAAGATATTGTTCCAAACCCGTTCTGTTTGCACCCATTCATCTCGACCGCACTTTGTGGGTTCATACCATCTTGCTCATTCCGACTGTCAATACTATCCCTGCTTACTTCATGACCATCGAGTTCATTTTTTAACTGTTCTTCATTCTCCAAGCAGTTTTTGGTACTGCCATTTTCACAAATGTCACTGTCACAACGACTATTTTCAAAGTCACCATTTTGTTCTCCCATCAGATCATCTTTGGGTTCCTCTTTAACACCGTCTCTGTTGCAACTTCGTGCATCTTCATTTTCCTCGTCAAATGTTTTTTCCTTCATCCCGATCAGTTCCTCTGCAAACTCTGCCATGCCATATTGCTGTGCAATACGCAGGCCTTCATCAAAAAGGGTCTCCTGTACGAATTGTCTTGTTTTTTGTGGATTTGCCTTTGGTGGAACTCTGTAGAAATCATGTCTAGAAAAGTCCAGATCTTCTTCGTGTCCCTCGTGTTGAGGAGATGTGCTCCCACTTGGAATATTCGAAGAGTCTACAAAAATATAAAATTTATTCAGTGAAATAGCTTTGTTCCTTGTATAATGATGGTAAAAAGGAAGATTGAATCTAAAGGGGCAGTGAAGTGACTTCACCTTCAGATGCTCAAAGTGTCAACAAACAGCCAGATGGGATTTATGTATCTTTGGCACAATGGGCTTTCTTAATCAACGCCTCTACACAAAGACACCAAATACATTCAGTCTAAGTCAAAACTTGGTTTAGAGGACATAAAATTCTTTGACTGACAAATACTTCTAGGTAAAAATCTTCTGTCTTCTAATTCTTGTTTACGATAAGGTTTTCTAAAACATCCAGTAAAGTTAGGAAATATTTACCTGTGCCATCATCCTCCAATGATGTATTTCCATTAGTGGCTTTCTTTGTCATGTTATAACTGAAAAAAAAAACATTTGTAAAATTATAGAAGTTTAGTTAATCATGCTTTTAGCATAAAAATAAATTTAGCACAATGCTTTTACAACTTTCTTCTCTTTTAAAGGATCCAAATTTCCATTTTTTAATGATCTGTTATAGACTAAAAAAACAAAATAACAGATATCAGTTACAAAATTTAATGTTCACTAACTGCTCAAAATAAAAAGAGATATTAAATAATGTTATTTCTAGTTTCTTTATTGATTTTTAATGGATATTTTGGTGTAAAATCATTAATATCTGAAAAAAAATGTCAGAATGACCCAGACTCTATGACTCACATTTGAGATCTCCGTTGTCGCCGTATAATTTCACTTTGTTCTGTCAGAAGTTGCAACTGCTTAGATGTTAGATTTTCTAACTCTGTTTGGAGTTCATGGATTCTTGGAAAATTTTCTTCATCTCGTGCCAACTGAATCTGTGTCTTTACTTCCTCTTGTTGCTGGGCAACTTCGTGAAGCTCCTGATTAATTTGTGTCATTCTCTCCTGAGAAGAAAGAAATGTGCTTAACAGTCAGATTCTAGCAGATATTAAAAGAACAAATACTTATTTTCTTTTAATTTTTTCCCACATGCATTTCTTAGTTCCAATTGGAATTTGAGTTAACATCAAACAACTGTTAAATTCACAGGCAGATTGAAAAATTATTATCACCATTTTTCAAGTTGCAAACATTTGTCAAAAGTTTTAGGGACCCAACAGCTGCCCGCGTCAGTCTAAAGAAAGACATTTTTATATCATCAACTTTGCTCCTAATATATCATTATGATCTTAGTATTTTCTTAACCATTATGATGACCTCTTAAGGCCCTTCCACATCAAGCATTCTGCCTTAGCATTTCTTCCTTAGTGCAGTTTTAAGAAATTTCTTGACAGTCTAACAGCCAATTTATTGTGTATGAAAAATGCCTAAACGGAGTTAATGTGCTTGACACTGCTGTTTAATAAATAATTGATAGTTTCAGCTAAATGATGCTTTGCTCATATTTCTACTGTGTTGAATAAAAAGTACTTGCTCCACGTAAAACTTTCACGCAAAGAGCAGGAAACAAACTAGTAAAACCCCCTTCAGTGCAATTTACATTATATAATCACTCAAACCAGAAAGATGGTATGCTAACACAGAATACTCAATGTGAAAAGGATTCAAAACATTTTTTTTTTAGTGCTCACTGACCTCTCTTTTGATTTGGTCTAATTCGGCCTTGACTGACTTGGAATTGAGATCGTGTTGACGGTGAAGAACGCCATCTATCCTCGGTTTCTTTAATGGACTCTCCCCTGGCATAACACCAGACCTTGAAAAAAAGTTTAAATGATTAAAATATACTGAAGAACCAGGCTGACAGAGGACCCACTCTCAATGAAACTATCATTCTCGATCCAACTCCGTGGGAACTCTCACTGAATGCAACTCCTCGTTCTGGCATTGAGTAGAATACAGAAAAACTGATGATTATATGAGTATGCTGGAAACAAGAGGAGGTAGCTTTATCTGTTAATCTGATTGCATTCAGCGAGAGTCCCTGCAGAGTTGGATCAATCTGTGCAGAACGATAAGTGTTATTGGGAATGGGCCCATATTTGCTGGAAGTGAGGCATCTCTCTGGAGGGAAATGCGCTAGTTGGGATTGCTATGCTGCTTCTCTGGCGCAATGAATACTTGGAGTCGGGCACAAAACAAAAAAGTTATGTAAACGATTAATATGTTTTCCACAATGAATGAATAATGCAAATCTT